CCTACTGCACAACCAGAACCTACCATTCCTAACCCGCCTGAGTTTCATGATCAATCTTCCTCACCTGCTGCCATGCCTTCAAACCAGATGATAATAGATGAGTTGGTTTCACTTGGAGGCTACATCACTAACTGGATGGATGCCCTTGATACACAAAATCAACAAATTCAATATGAACTTCATCATCTCTCTTCAAGGCTGAATAACATGGATGTTGATGAAGATAGTTCCGAGCCCGAGTCTTAGAATAATTTGTGTCTAGGTTTTCTGATTTTAATGCATCTTGGTTGTGAACAATTTATGTTTTGTTGTGTTTGTGTTTAATATGGATGAACATCGTTTCTTTCATTTTATGCAAAGTTCTCTTTTATAATTCGATTCATGCATGTTATAACTATATTATATGTTATGAAAATATTACATGCTATCAACATATTGTATGCTATGTATATATTGTATATTGTGCTGGACTCTTGGCTTTTCTTCTTTTTGATGAAGTCAAAGGGGGGAAAAAGTTGGGAGAAGTGTATTTTCTGTAAAATTCTTTCAGGCACATAACTCCAAATGAAAGGGGGAGCATACAAGATAGGGAGAGCATACTCAAGACATGTCAAGAAATATCACAAAATATGCTGCTCTCAGAAAACTAAACTATCAAGAAGATATTGGTTTGTCATCATCCAAAAGGGGGAGATTGTGAAGAAGATCTTGCTCCTGACCTTGGCATAGTTTTGATGACGACAAAAAGAAGATAAAGCTTCAAGACAAAAAAAGTCTAAGTCTAATAGGTAATTCTATCCTATACTCTTGAATATACTTTAGTAATAATGCTCAAAACATTTTTAAGGAAAATTAAAATATTCTAAGTGTAATCAAAATAATTTTCAAAAATGGTATGTAACGGGTTACTTGAGTAACAAGTTACATGTGTGAGAAATGAGTTATCCAACATCCAATGACTAAGAGTAATCCATTACTGTCTTTGAGTAACAGATTATCAGTTTATGTAAAGTTGGGTAATCGTTATGTAATCGATTACGCTAAGACACTTTTGCAACACCGTTGGACAGAACACTTGGGTAATCAATTACTCAAAAATGTGTAATCGATTACACTGTGTTAATTTCGAAAATGCTGTTGAACAGGATGTTTGGGTAATCGATTACCCACTGTCTGTAATCGATTACTGAGAGCTGTTACACCATTTTTAGATTTCAAAGTGAAAGGGTTTCACCCCAAACGAAAGTGTTTCATTCCAAACGAAACCTACACTCTCCTAAAGTTGTTATGGTTGATTGGGAAGCCTATATAAAGGCATTAGAACACATAACTCACACAACAACTTATTGAACAAAATTCACACAAGTTTTGAAAAAGCTCTTACACTTTTTCTAAATATTTTCTGCACTTTTTAGCAACCTACTCTAAACTTTCAAAGTTAGTTTTTAGAGTTGCTTAAAAGTGTTTCTAAGTTTTTCTAAACTTTCAAGAGCATTATTATCTATTGTATACAAGAGTTGTTTGGATTGCAAGTTATAATTATCATATCAACTTGTAAAGGCAATCCTTCCATTGTTGTAAATTCTTCATTTAGCAAGAATACTTTCTTTCACAAGGGTGTGAATAGAAAGGGGATAGAGTTACTTGGAAAGGTGTTTTCCAAGGGTGTTACTTGGAAAGGTGTTTTCCAAGGGTGTTTAAGTATTAGTGAGTGTGTAAGGTACACAGAGATCTCGGAGTGAGATATTGGAATTGCAACTTATAATATTTAAGTAAAGGAATCTCTTGTGCTGCAAGAGTACTTGACGTAGCCTTCGGTGGACAAGAAGGTGAACTAGTATAAAAAACATGCGTACTCTCTTCTCCTTTATCTTTCTATTTTAAAGTCATTATTTTTATCCTTTATTTTCCGCTGCACTTAAACTTATGATTTTGCAGAAAAAGTGGCCATAATTTTATAACAACTGATTCACCCCTCTTTTAGTTGCAATCTCATTATTACACGCTATATGGCTTGTGGCTTATTCAAAAGAAATGCATAAATCACTTAAAAATGTGCAATATCAAAATCTAGTATCACCAAGAAACATGTCAAGTTCTAGAGTGCAAGTAATAAAGAGTGCAACAATCACACATGAAAGAATACTAGACGGCATACAACAATCCATCCACAATTAAGACTCAAAATCTCACAAGGAATAAGACTATCACAATTGGCTCAAACTCTCAATTCTCAAAAGTAACTCAGCACACAGAAAATGCATGGATTCACAACACAATATATCAAGAATCAACTAAAACCAAGCATGAGAGGAAATGCCCAAAATCTAAGCAAAATCTGAAAATTAGGTGCCTGCAAAACAGTTGGAACGAAAGTAACAAAGCTAGGCTTTGTTGCAGCCGGCACCTGAACAAATAAATCAGATTGTTGTATGATTCATGCATCAATTGTGTTAGTTCAATGTGAATGTGTAACAGGAGAATCAACAACAATATTCAGAAACTTATCAATACAAGAGTCACACATCTCAAAATCAGTGCATGCATGACAAATGTACAGTGAAGTGCAAGGAACGTTAATATCCTAAAATTAATCTATGCAAAAAGTACATATTTCATCATTAGAGAATGCATGACAAGTGTATGGATCAATCAATGATGGTGTGAAGAAGATCTTGCTCCTGACCTTGGCACGATTTTGATGAAGACACCAATATCACAAAAAGAAGAAAGGAAGAAGACCTACAAAGACTATCGAAGATAAAGCTTCAAGATTTAGAGTTTAAGTCCTAGGTACTTCTATCCTTACAAATCATTTACTTACTTAGTTAATAATGCTCAAATTTTTTTTCAAGAAAATCAAAATAATCTAAGTGTGAATAAAAATGATTTAAAAAAAAAACATGTAACATATTACCATACTTGAGTAACAAGTTACATGAGTGAGAAAAGAGTTTACAAACCTCTAACATCTATGAGTAATCCATTACTGACTTTGGAGTAATAGATTACCACTTTTAGAAAACAGGGTAATCGATTACTCAAAGTAGTGTAATTGATTACACTAAGGCAAATTCACAAAGCTGTCAAACAGTGTTGTTGAGTAATCGATTACTCAAATCCAGTAATCTATTACACTGTGTGAATTTTCAAAAAGATGTTAACACTATATGAATTTTCAAAGTTTACTTTCTTTCACAAGGGTGTGATGAGAAAGGGTGAGTGACTTGGTATAGTGTTTACCAAGGGTGTAACTTGGTACAGTGTTTACCAAGGGTGTTACTTGGAATAGAGTTTTCCAAGGGGATTAGATATAAGTGAGTGTGTAAGGTACAAGGAGATCTCGGGGTGAGATATTTTTAACTGCAACTCATTATATTTAATAAAAGAATCTCTGCGAGTCAAGAGTACTGGACGTAGCCTTCGGTGGATAAGAAGGTGAACCAGTATAAAACACATGTGTACTCTCTTTCCCTTCTCTTTGTTAATTATTTATCCTTCCTAAGTCAACATTTTTCTGCATATTATTTCCGTCGCACGTTAACTTTGATATGGCAGAAAAATTGGCCATACTTATTGCAACAACTAATTCACCCCCCCCCCCCCCCCCCCCCCCCCTCTTAGTTGCAATCTCAGTCTTACAGATGGAGCATGAAAATCATGAAGAAAATTAGACAAGTGTGTATCAGTAAACTCATGGAGAAAATCAAGGTGGAAAACAAAGTCGTCGTCAGATGAATGCTTAAAAGCATCAAAAATGTTAAATCAGGCCAATTGATCATCAAATTCCATAGAAAGTGTCCCAAAATGGACATATATCTTGGTTTGGGCTGTTCTCAAGAATGGTCTCCCCAAAATAATTGGAACTGTGTTACAGGGGATCCCTCTTCCATATCAAGAATATAAAAATTAGCAGGAAAGATCAGTTGATCAACCCGAACCAAGACATCCTCTATGAAACCTACAATGTATGTAGTACTCCTATTTGCTAATTGGATTACAACACCTGTAGGTTGCGAAGGTCCAAGTGAAAGAAATTTAAAAACAAAGTGGCCATGAGATGGATGCTACTAAATCAAGCATGACATTTTAGAATTTTCTATTACCTATGATGCAAGGTACAGTAAATGTACATGGGCCTTGACACTTTTCAAGGTTGCGAGGAAGAGGCATACCTATCATTGAAGCACAAAATATGTTCTAGGTGTAGGAACTTTAGTCTGTTTGCCTGATCTGAGGGTGATGACTCACATTCCTTGTGTTAAGCATTGTCTGAGAAGGTAACTTGTCAGAATTCTGTGACTGCAACGTGTTTAGTGAAGTAGCCATCTTGCCCATCTGGGTGGTTAGATTCTGAATGGAAGACTCTTGTCTCTGAATTGAAGCTCTGCTTCTTGCTGGAACTGAATGTTCTGCATTGTCATCTGCCTCACCAATTCTTCAAAAGAGGGTTTAATAGGTGCATGATTGTTAATCATTTGCTGTCTCTGTTGTTGAATTGGTGGGGGCACATATGATGGTCTATTCTGCCCATCATTATTCTGAAGTGGTGCATGATTTCTCCAACCAGGATTGTATGTTCTGGATGAGGGTGGATCATAATGTTGCTGCTGATGTGGAGGTCTATTGTTGTATATTTTAGCATAATAAGCCTCGGGATGATCACCAGTTCTTGGCTCAAGCAAAGAAGGGCACACGTCACTATAATGATCAGTTGAGGTGCAAATGGCACACACTATTGCCATTGAAGATTTTTGCTGTTTGTCTCAAGCTTTTCTTGCCTTGCTGCATTTGTCCCAACATCTTGGACTCATCTTATAATTATGGAATCACCACTATTTGCATTGAATTGTTGAGAATTGGAAGCCATTTTCTCAATCAAACATTTTGCCTCAAAAGGAGTCATGTCTCCAAGTCCACCACCACTAGCAACATCAATGATACTTCTATCCATGTTATTCAGACCCTCACAAAAATACTGCAGGAGGAGTTGCTCAGAGATCTGATGATGAGGGAAACTTGTGCACAACCTCTTAAAACTCTCCCAATAGTCATATAAGCTCTCACCATGTTGTTGCCTAATTCCAAAGATGTCCTTTCTGATTGCAGTGGTCCTGGATGCATGGAAGAATTTACCCAGGAATGACCTCTTCAAGTCACCCCAACTTGTGATAGAACTAGGAGCCAAGTAATACAACCAATCTTTTGCAGGGCCTTCAAGTGAATGAAGAAAGGCTTCCAAACAGATGTGATCCTCTTGAACATCATGTGGTTTCATGGTTGAGAAGTCAAGGTGGTACTCTTTAAGACGCTTATGAGGATCCTAACCTGCAAGTCCATTAAAGTTGGGAAACAAATGGATTAGTCCAGTTTTAAGCACATATGGTATATCCTCATATTGAATACCCAAACTGTCATAAGTAAAATCAGGTGCAGTCAGCTGAGCCATATTTTTAGAATGGACAGAATGGTCAAAATCAGGAAATGCAACAAAATGCACAAAATCACTATATTCAGAATGCACATAAACAGAATGCTTAAAAGCAGTATTTTCAGCAACATGATGTTTAGAAACAGAAAAAAAATTAATATCTAAAGTCATGTTTTGTCTAACTAACCTATGATATGTTCTATCAATTTCAGGATTATTGAATGCAAAATGCATGTATTCCTCCTAGTCATGCGCTACTGTCAATAATACCTAAAAAACAAGGCAATAATGGAAATACATGTTTGAAATGTGTAATCAACTAATTCTTTGCATCAATAACATCCTAAAATCATATAGAACATGTACAAAAAGTTTCAAATAACAAATCAAAGCCTAACCATGTTAAAAATACAAAACATACTCACTATAAACCTTATAAAATAAAAAAGAAATAGTAAAATGCGTTTTTTTGGATTATGGGGCGGACCTCACAGACGTCCAATTCTACCCCAAATGCATATATTATATGTCCAATTTTGATATACGGAAAACAAAACAGAATCACAAAAATTTTTGGGAAACAAATTTTCATTCAAAAATTCCACCCACAACTATATGAACTAGCAAAACAAAATCACATAAATCACGCAAAATGGCAAAACAGTGAACAATGAACAATAACTTTGACAACAACACAACTTTTGAATCCAAACAAGAATTTGCACCCAAAATTCACTACATAGTTGAATAACAAAACTTCAATAAACTAAGCTAAGCTATATGAAACTACAGAGAACCTTTGTATGAATAGATAATCCCCGACAGTGGCGCCAAATTTGATCGAGGTCGTACCCGATACAAATAATAAAGCAATTAAGTATAGTACTAGGAAGTGACTCCTAGGTTGTTTCCCAAAGATTATCTTTCACACATTGGTTCAAACACCTTACACTCACACACATAGGGGGGTTTTGGTGGTTGTTATGCTATGAAACTAAAGCTAAAACAAAACATATAACAACAATTAACTAAACAAAGCAGTAAAGCGGCTAAATCCCTTTGGTTTCCTTGTTCACAACTCAATCCTTGGTTACAGAACATCAAAATCAGATTCGCAGTGTTCCTTTGTTGAGAGTCGAATAACTAAGCAATGATCAACTCACAGTTAAATTTATAAACCTCTAATTAAGCGAAATTGGCATAAGCAACAAACAGTTAACAAAGTCACAGAATCAAAGCATCAATTTCAGATTCTAGACATTGAATTCCTAATTTGTTCACAAATCTAATGTCTAAGCCTCAAACTAAGCGAAATCAACATAAACATGGAGCATTTACAGATTCACATAAACTAAGCGATTATGTGCTAGAGAACTAATTGACTAAGCGAAAATCAGTTCACAAACCTACAACAAAACCATGGAATTAAGCAAACCACAATCTGAAATAGGATAGAAGATTCAAACATAAAGAAACCGAAATTGCATTAAAAGAATAAAGAGAAAATGAAATGCATTAAGCACTAAACCTCAAAAGTGTGATTCATTACCAAAGGAACTTAATCCAAGGTCTAGCCTTCCATGGAGGAAGAAGCCAACACCGAAATTTTAAGAGGAAGAAGAAAGGGAAACGAAAATTTAAACCATAAGCCCCAAAAGGGGGAAAACGAATTTCTTTCTCCCAAAGCTGAAATCTAAAATGTGTCTCGTGTAAGGTTAATAAAGGGTAAAACCGAAATGGGCCCTAAACAATGGGTCCAAAACCCAGAATGGAATTAAAATGCTATTACAAACTACAATCTTCACTTTAGCACACATCCTCCACTTGTAATGCCCAAAATGTCCTTGGTGCTATATATGACCTGAAAATAAAATTACATTTAATTAGGCTAAATAATCCCAAATTAACTCATTTTAGGAATAATAGTCCAATGAAGCCTAAAACACTATACCATGCCTTACAAAGTCAATTAGACACCAAGAATCATTAACAATATTAAAATAAAGGTTATTAATAGTGTGTAATATATGACTCATCAGCCCCCATAATATAGAAATGTATTCGTTACGGATTTACACGTCATAAGTTCCAAAACTACATAATTGCATCCAAAAATGATCTACGCTACATAACAACCTCGATCTTCTACTCATTCGCTTCGCCTGCAATCTGATTATCACAAGTAGAACAGACATGAAACACTAGGGAGTAAGACATTATTTCATACCACCTCAACCATTATTACCTCAAGCATCGAATAATACCCAATGTCAATTACCTTTTGTTAGAGTACCTTATGTCCCCATTTCAATCATCACCCAAAACTTACCTTATCCATAGTAACATATTTCGAAATTAACACTACACCACATAGATTCAAGATTACTATACCACATCGGGTAAGTCAAGATTTCTACACCACATAGAGCAAGTCAAGATTACAATACCAATTAGGGAAAGTCAAGATTACAATACCACTTAGGGCAAATCAAGATTACAATACCACTTAGGGCAAGTCAATATTACAATACCACTTAGGGCAAGTCAAGATTACAATACCACTTAGGGAAAGTCAAGATTACAATACCACTTAGGGCAAGTCAAGATTATTATTCCAATTTCTCATCGAACTAATCATTATTATCCATTTCCAGATAAAAGCACCAAAGTAATCTACAATCCTGTGCTATCACAATTAAGGGTAATGCTTCTCCCTTACCTGGGTATGAGTTAGCGTTGTAATCCTGCACCCGCGTTGGATCCTCCTTTTTCTCATCCAACCTTAGGATCTCTTCTCAACCTTTTCTTTCGCTTTTACAAGTGCTAGGGTGGGGAGCTGCTTCTCCTTCTTTTCTTTTTTCTAAAAAGTGCCCCAACTCTCACTTGGAATGTCTATTTTAGGTTACAGATTCGCGGGTACTCGCTCGGGGCAAGACATGGTCGCTTAGGTGAGAAGCCCTCAACGATTCACATTTTCAAACTCTCATACTGTTTTTTGGGCGAATTTCCTGAATCCCTCGCTTGGGCGAGACCCTCTCGCTCAAGCGAGAATTACCTAGTAAATCAACAATAATTCCAAGTTTAAATATTATTTCAAGAAAGGAAAATCGGGGGGTTACATTAAACCTTATGCATTAACACTTCACAATGTGCTCTTCATACCTGAGTTCAATTACAACTTAATATCCATTCATAAACTTATTAGTGCTTTGCATGACACCATTATTTTTTCAAACAAATATTATTGTGACGTAGGATATGATTTCCTTGAAGATGATTGGATACTAAGATCATCAATCACCTCTACATTCTCAATAGACCAGCACAATGAACATTTCATAGTATTAACTCTTCTACTGTGAATTCTTTTGATCTTTGACATTTTCGTTTAGGACATTCATCCCATTCTATACTTGATTACATATGCAAAATATAGGCATATCTTGAATGGGACTAGATCGCTTTTATTTCAATCCCATTTGTTGAAGCCTTTTTGGGATTATGCTACCAAACATTCAATTTTCTTGATTAACAGGATGCCTACTCTTGTATTAGATTTGAAGTCCCCCATAAAACTTCTCCTTGGAAGTGCACCCTCCTTGAATGATTTGAAAGTGTTTGGATATTTATTTTATGGAACCAATCTTACCCAAGATAGGACCTAAGTAGACCCAAAAGCAAGAAAGTGCATCTCCCTTGGGCATCAAAACTAGGCACCAAAGGCTATCTCTTGATGGACTTATCATTCGAAGATATCTTTGTAAATAGACATGTTCAATTTTAAAAGCATACATTTCCCATATTCCTTCACATCATGGAAACAATAATTGCGTAAGTCCGACCCAACTTTTTTTCATCACAACAACATTAATTTCCTTCACAACAACAGTAACTGCAAGTGTTGGCTAACGACAGAAGTAAAGACACCTAGAGGAGTGAGTACTTGTAGCATTCCTCAATTAACACTTTTCTGATTTATGCAAGATTTGAAAATACAAGTAGTTTAATCGATTATCAGAGTACTTAATTGATTAAAGACATAAAGACATAACCGATTAATCACATGTTTAATCGGCTAACCTGAAACATAAATCTTTAAAAATAACAGTTTCTTGTTAATCAAGTTTTCCCAAAAATAGTCCTTTACAGATTCAACTTGCTTAACGAAAATCAGAGTATCATGGCTTGCGGGTCCACTTGCAAACTAAATCCAGGCCTCCCCTTCAGATATCGGGAGTTTTTCATCACTATGGAATCAATGCATGTTTACAAACACACTTCCAATGCACTTCACAAACGCTCCTTTCTTGGCGCTAGAGTCACTCAAGTCGGTTTGACCTCCAACCCGTCTTTTCGGATGAAAATGCAAGAGAAGTCAATGTGTAAGGTTGCAACATCATTCTTCTGATTTGGTTTCGAAGAAGACAAAGACGATATGGAAAAACTTAAAGACATGACAAGTAAAAAAACAACATATCAAGGCTCAATATCATCTAAGGCTTAGGGAAGTTATTTTTCAATTTTAAGATGTCCTAAGATGATTGCTTAGATTGAGTCTAGGTATATAAACCCAAGGATGAGAATATCACATAATCTTAAAATGTGTTTAACTATTTTGAGTCATCATCAATCCATATTTGATTTGGTTGTGTAAGGACCCAAATTCTACCCTTG